CCCTGCACACAGCATGGGGGGGCCCTCGGGCTGATGGGGCGCGGTGGCTGAGGACCAGGCAGGGCTGAGGGGCCGGGCGAGGCTTCCAGCTCACCGGCTTAATTGGGGATGTAATCGTTATGATTATCTGTAACTCGCTCTTGAACCCGCGCCAGGAGCGTGTGTTCGCAGCCTGCCCGGCCCAGGCAGGCGTTAAGTAATTAAAGCGCCGTCCTAATCGGGCGGCGAAACTCCCCCTGGGCTCCCACTTCCTTTGCTCGCTGATTGCTGATATTTGGGGGGTGAAATATGACCATTTTTACGATCAAAGAGATCAGAGCTCCAAAGGAAAGAAACGGAAAGAAAAAAAAAGGGAGGGGGGGCGGGGGCTCCCCCAGATTTCCTTCCCTGCGACTTCGTGGTCTGGTGAAGTTTCCTTAGACACGCGAAGATTTACACAGCGACCTGCAGGGAGCCTTGAATTACTCCTCCCCGCTCAGCCCGGGAACAGTAAGTCATTGAGGAATGAGCAGGCCTCCTCGTAATCGCTCGGCGGCCTTTGAGAGGGGATGGCTAATGACTTTTTTTGAAGTGGAGGTCAAGGTTTTTTTAAATAAAACAATCTGTGTTCCTGCAATTTCCTCTGGAGCCCGAGCGTTGGATCTCATTTGATTTTTACTTTTTGGGGGGCGGGAGGCAGAGGTGGGGAGACGCATCGTTTTTCTCCCGCCAGACAACGCGTCCCTAATGAGATACATTTATTTAAAACTCCGTATATCATCACCCTGTCAGGGCCGCCGGGGGAGACCGGCTCCCTCCTGGTTTGTTTGGGGTTAGCAGCGGCGTGCGGCTCACAGAGGGCCCCGCAGCCTGGTTGGCCTTTTTTGCCCCCCCCCCCCCCCCCGTCTGCCCGCTGCCCCCTCAGCGCAGCCTTGACCATGGCGTGCTGTGCCCCAGCCCCACCCGATCGCCCAGATCTTAGCACAGCCCTTTGGCTCCTGGTCCTCACCTTCCCATCCGCCTCACCTGCCTCCTGGCTGAGTGCACCCCTGGCATCTGCCTGGTCCCGCCCACAGCGAAAGTCAAGCTCCAGGAGTGGCCACCGGCACCATCATTACTGCGTCCCCAGGCCCAGAGCAGAGCCGGAGGACAGGCCTGGGCTGGTTCCCCGCCTTTTTTGTTTTATTTTATATTTATTTTAATCCTCACCTGAGTTTATTTTTCCATTGATTTTTAGAGACAGTGGAAGAGAGAGGGAGAGACAGAGAGAAACATCGATGTGAGAGAAACACATCGATTGGTTGTCTCCTGCACGTGCCCCAACCAGGGCCCAGGGAGGAGCCTGCAACCGAGGTACGTGCCCT